TCCACCTTCCGGCTGCACTTCCTAAAAACCTATAGGCTGCATGTCACAAAGAAAGATGGGAAGCTCATATGTTGGCCCCCTTTCCTACTTCTTTTGGGTACCTACACCCAAGGCCTGACAGGTGAGCAGTGAGTGGCTACTTGGAACAGAGCAGGGGTGGGTTCTACTTACCTTTACTACTGGTTTGCAATGGGATCAGGCACGAGCACTTGCTTCGCTCGCGCATGCACCTTGCTTCTGCGCATGCGCAGATTGCCGATGATGACATCCGGGTGGGTGGGTGGGCGGAGCCTCCTGCTGGTTTTACTACCGGTTCTTGTGAACCAGTCCGAACTGGTCAAAAGATGAACTCTCTTAATGATGGTGGGTGGCAAGAGAAGGATGAGGGAGCGATTCAGATGCCTGCTTGTAAGGTAGGGCTGGCTGGGATATGCTGGCGGTCAATGGTGAGCCCTCTTCTTTCCTGGAGGGAGGGGGCTCTTAGGTACATATGGGGTGGGAAGCAGGGATACAGTTTTCCTCATGATCTACAGCTCCCTTCATTCAGGGGTGGACTTCAAAAATTTTAGCAAGGGGTTCTCTGCTCGGTTGCTGGGTGGGTGTCACCATGGTGAGCATGGCCTAGTCAGCCTCCTGGACTCCAGAGGCTTTCCTCCAGTCTCTGGGAAGGCAAAAACGGCCCTTTAGAGGCCGGACTTCCCTAACTTCTGGTAGGCCTGTTTTTCGCTCTCCCTGAGTCTCCGTGCGCGCCCTGAACTTACCTGGATCCAAAATGGGCCGTATGGGGACTCCTGGGATGGGTGGGGCAGTGTGGGCGGGCCGGGCCCAGCCAGAAGTGAGATTTGGGGGTTCTCCAAACTGCACAGAATCTTAGCTAAAGGTTTTCCCGAACCCCTGTGAACCCCTAGCAGCCCACCCCTGCCTTCGTTCCACTTCCCTTCAACAGTGACAGGCAGTTTCATGGCTCAGCCAAAGAGGAGGAGGAGTGATTTCCAATACTTCCTGCCAGCTGCCCATAAGTATTGTCAATGGGGAAGCTTGTAGGAAGATGGAAATTCCTCAAGCTCCCACTGCTTGTTTGCTCCCTTCCCACTTATTCTGTTCCTCTGTTTAAGTAAGGGGATATCTCAGAAAAGACGGCCTAGTTAGCGAGTTACAGGTTTTCCAATAGCATATAAAATAGAGAACAAGAGTCACAGCTATAGAGTAGTATTATCTTCGGAGCAGAATGAAGAACATATCAGAAGGTATAAGAAAGTCTGAAGAATTTTGGCACGGCAATAAAATAGCTAACTAATGGGAAACGGTGCATTTGGAATGGTATTGCTGTAATCTGTAACTGTAAAGGACACGTTAGGAGAGAGATAAAGATCAGGTTGAAGAATGTGGCCGGAACAACGGTGATGAGGAAGCAGAAGATCAAGTCTTGGAAATGTGAAAATAAAAAGGATGGACAGAATAAGGATTGAAGGTCTGGGCATAAATAGTATATCTGAGAAAAGATAAGAGAAATAGGGTACTTAGGATAGATAAGTGCAAGTAATTAGAAACGGTATAAGAAACAGGAAATGTACAATAAATGAAAGAACATAAAACTGTTCAAACTAAGAAACATTTTTTTTTTGGGTAGTGTACTTTGATACTAAGCTCTCATTTCTTTAATGACCATCGCTCTGTGTGTCTCATCCAAATCGGTACCATCCTAAAATCTGTAACAGGTGTGAGAAGTCTTGTATCCAAATATATTTTATTCTTTATACTGTTTCCATTTTCCCTTAAAATATTTTACAGAATCCACAATGGTCTGAGAATCAGTGTCTCCACTAGATAATTTACAATCAAGCTGAAACTAAGTTTTTTTTTTTAATTTGATTTATATGACGCCCTTCTCCGGAGACTCAGGGCAGCTTATAATGCGTTAAGCAATAGCCTTCATACTTTTGTATATTTTAACCAAAGTCAGCTTATTGCCCCCACAATCCGGATTCTCATTTTACCTACCTTAGAAAGGATGGAAGGCTGAGTCAACCTTGAGCCTGGTGAGATTTGAACATGCAGTAATTGCAGGCAGCTGATGTCAATAACAGTGCTTTAGTCTGCTGCGCCACCAGGGTTTAATCAATTTACATTAGCAAACTTCCTCAAACAACTTACCCAGACCTAATCCACCTATCAAAGGATAAGGTCTACAAACATAGAGTTAATTAAATTAGGTCTCCCAGAGAAACTGCATGTTCACAAGAATAAACATACACACATACACACACAGAGAGAGAGAGAGAGACACACACACCCCTCAAATGTCACCCTAGAATCAGCATGTGACACTCTGGACAAGCTCCCCCTATAAAAATTTGCTGCTGTGCCCCATTTCTCTGCAGCCTGCCCCTAAATGCAAACTGGTTTGCTTTTAGGAATAAATATTTCTTCTTTCCTCACAGCTGTCTAAAACTCATATTTATTTATTCTTGCATAGCCCTGGCCCAAATTATTCTTCTGACACAGGGCTCTACAAAAATTCAGCTGCAAATTCAGCTTGGTGGATCAGGTCCTCTGTATTTTATTTTTTCCCTTTTGGCGGTGCTCAGGACAAGTCCATTTTCCTAATGTTTCCTTTCCCCATACTCCATTGGCTGAATTGTGGTATGTGTGAAATGCATGGAAAACTGGGCTTGTGTGAATCAACTGGATTTGTTCCAGATGTAATTTTTGTTAGGTTCAAAGATGGCATAGTGTGACCTGAATTTCAAAGGCAAAAATATTCAAACAGAATCAAAATTCAATAGGGGAAAAAACATAATATGTAGACCATAATAGGGAAGCATCAAAACATTTGCAGCTGCTTCTTTTTTTAAAATCAGGATGGGATGAAAACAGCAAGGGAATTTTAGCTGTTTTAGAATCTTCCAGGGATTTACTGCAATCTTTTGCTGAAAACATTCTCCTTATTAAGGGATTCTCTCTTTCTGAGTGAGAAATGGGAGGAATGAGGAAAGGACAGCAGAACTATCTCCAAATTTATCTCGCAAATATCCTCTGGAGAAGTGGTCCAGAAAAAAATTACAAAAAAAATGTCCTACTTCAATTTAAAATGAAAACCTTTGAAAACAGTATAAAAAGTAAGATCTTCACTCCTCCACTTATACTGTCATGTGACAATATATAGATTTACCTTTATGAGCCGTGGTGGCGCAGTGGATAGAATGCAGTATTGCATGCAGGCTAATTCTGCTGACTGTCGACTGTCAGCAATTCAGCAGTTCGATTCTCACCAGCTCAAGGCTTTCATCCTTCCAAGATCGGTACAATGAGGACTCAGATTGTTGGGGGCAATATGCTCGGTATAGAGAGGGCTTAGAGAGGGCTGTAAAGCACTGTGAAGTGGTATATACCGTATTTTTCAGAGTATAAGATGCACCAGAGTATAAGACGCACTTAGTTTTGGCGGAGGAAAATAAGAAAAAAGCTGATTGGTGGGTGGATCGGCCTCCCGGAATACCCCCAATCAGCTGTTCCCAGAGGTGAATTTTAGCAACAGGTTCGTTGGTTGTGAGTCTGTGCCTTGCTTTTTTTTCTGCCTCTGAAAGCCTCCGAAACAGAGCTTCAGAAGGAAAGCTTCTGAAACTTTGTTTCAGAGACTTTTTTTTCTGAAGCTCTGTTTCGGAGGCTTTTTTTCTGAAGCTCTGTTTCGGAGGCTTTTTTCTGAAGCTCTGTTTCAGAGGCTTTTTTCAATCTCTGAAACCTCCGTTTGAGAAGCTGGGCGGGGCTACAATCAGAGTATAAGACACACCCAGATTTTCACCCTCTTTTTTGGGGGAAAAAGGTGCGTCTTATACTTCGAAAAATATGGTAAGTCTAAGTGCTATTGCTATTATGCTATATTACAATTTTGCTGCCTCTAAACTCTGAGGGGTTTTTTGGGGGGGAGGGGGAGGAGGACAGGGAAGTTGACGTAAATGGTTGCCAAGCTTGACCTGTCTAAAGAAGGACCTTCTCATTGGCAAATCTTAGCTTCTCCTGGATATGCTCTAGCTATGCCAGGGTTGTACCTGACTGGCAATTCTCACTGAGGTATGAAAAGTGGTAAAACAAGCCGGGCACAGTGAAAGACATGCAGACCACAGTGAAAAAAGCCACTATTATGTGTACAGTACAGAGGTGGGTTTCGGCAGGTTCTGACCAGTTCTGGAGAACCGGTAGGGGACATTTTGGATAGTTTAGAGAACTGGTAAATACCATCTCTGACTGGCCCCGCCTCCATCTATTCTCTACCTCCCGAGTCCCAGCTGATCGTGAGGAAATGGGGATTTTGCAGTCTCCTTCCCCTGCCACACCCAATAAGACACGTCCACCAAGCCATGCCATGCCACGCCCACCATGCCCACAGAACTGGTAGTAAAAAAAATTGAATCCCATCACTGGTACAGTATACAAAAAATCTCATCAACAGCCAAGGGCCAACCCTGGGATTCATGCTTAGTCTTATGGTCTTGAATAAAAAGTAGCAGTTCATCCACATCTTTTCCATTACTGAGCCATGCTTGGACTGGCTGTCTGCAGGCATGGCAGTTCAAGACAGTTATCCCCAATGGTTCCACTTATAAGCTTGCTGGACTGGAGGTGGGGGGAGGCATCTCCGTGGCTTCCTAATAAAAGCAATTTATTCAGCTTTCCAACTTTCTGCTTTAGCCCCTTAAGGGATAAACTGAGATTATATAACATGGCCCTAGGCATTCTTGCCGACATACAAGTGAGGTAGAAAGAGTGGAAAGTGTAAAGGATTGAAGGAGTTTCAGGTTCAAAGAAATGATGCTTGCCGGTTAAACCAAGGCCTGAAAAGACGTTCCTTGAGCCCCAGCATTGATCTCTTTACTTTTTATCTGGTTTTTCCTCTGACAAGTCTTAAGACATACATTAAAGAACAAAGAGTATGCTGGAATGGTCAGATATACTGTATACTATTAAGAGGAGTTCCCGGGATTCTCCCGTAAGGTACTTACGCTGATGGACAGCACCGGGCCCACCTTATACATGGAGTAACGATCGGTCCCAGGACAAATATCTTTCACGTCGTTGTCCTCTCCTTCGTGTCCAAGTTCTTTCTGCATGAACTCAGCAAAAGCTTTCATTCTGTTGGGGCTTCCTCCCACACAGACAAACTGCAAAAGGACGATAAGGGCATCAGCAACGGCAACAACAACATCTGCATCTACTGCTGCTAAGCTGTCTGACTGGTTTTGTGCCTTTTTTTTATATCCAAAAGGAGATCCTACTTGAAAGCATGAACTAAAAGATGGTCCTGACCTGCTTGAGCCATAAGGGCAGGGGTGGGATTCTACCGGTTTGGACCAGTTGGGAGAACCGGTAGTTCCGACGATCAGCTGGGAGCGAACCAGTTCGCTCCGACGAGCAGGTCGGCCCACCTGCCTGCCTCTGTGTTTTACTTACCTTTATCTTCTCAACTGATTGGCATGGCAGAGCGGATTGCCACACCTCAGCTGTGTTACTCCAAGGGGTAACACAGAAGGTTAGTATTTGTAAAACTGTGCATGCGTGTGCAGCGATCACCGAATCGGTTGTTAAACCGGCAGCATCCTGTTAGATATTGACAGCCTAAATCTTCCCACTGGTCTGTTGTTTGAGCGGGAAAAATACTTAAACATGATTGGCTGAGCTCCCTGACAGCTCCCCATAAAAGGGCTGCTGGTTTTGTATATAGTTGCTGAATAAAAGAGCTGTTGTCTGAAGCCTGTCTCCAGTCTCTTCAATCCACCTACTCAACACATCTCACCACTGCATAAGGGGGACACAAGAGGTCCTCATTGATCAGGATTTGATCAGGATAATCCCATGGAATTTAGTCATGGTGCAACTTAAAGAGCAGAATATAACAACCTGGTTTTATTTTTGTCATGATAATTGGAAGGCCTAAATCAGGGATGAGCAATTTGGGGGAGGGTGAGCCTTCTTTATTTTTTTAAAAAAGAGTATTTTTGGCTCAAGTACTGTCACAAATGGCTGGTTTTACCTTTTCAACCAGAGATTCAGTGTACAGATTTTAAAACTAATTTACTGTTTTTTAAAATCCCGCCTTTGTTATTTTTAGGAATATCTCAAAGAGGCAAATATGCCTAATGCTCCTTCTTCCTCTTCTTTTCCCATAACAACAACCCTGTGAAGTGGGCTGGGCTGAAAGAGAGTGACTGGCCCAAGATCACCCAGCCGGTTTTCCTGCCTTTGGCAGGACTAGAACTCACAGTCTCCTGGTTTCTATCCTGATGCTTTCACCACTAGACCAAACTGGCCATGCAAAGTAATCATTTAGCTAATCAATACCATTCTGATTATTGCATACCACCTAGAGTTGCTTCTGTGAAACGGGTAACCACATAAATGTGATTAATAAATAATAAATACATTTTATAGCTGTGTTTCTGCAATGTAATCGTTGAAGAGCTGTGGAGCACTGCCAAAAGAGGTCTGGGGAACTTTGGGTCATTAGGTAGCTGCCCAGGCTGTGTCCCACTGAACTTTGCTATAAGAAATGCACAATTTCTGTCGAAAGGGGCCCTTCTATATGCTTCACCAGTTGTGAGGGTCTAGTAATCTAATACCCATGACATAAATAAAATTGAAATGTTTCCTCTCCTGCAGGAATATCCAATGAAGTGAAACAGGAGTGGGGATAATGTTATGTCCTGCATATTATTTGATTCAGTAAAAACTAGGGGGTGGGAGAGGGAGAAGAAAGAAAAGAGGTGCAGGGCTATACAATTTTAGATCTCCCCTATATATTTGCTTCTACATGGACTGTATTGTGCCTGGAATTCTGCCCACATTTTGAAGGGACGAGTGGCACATGCACCAAAAAATGTATCTGAATTTCCACATTTGATGTGCAATGTCTGCATTTTAGATCTGAATTTTGTCCCCGGTCCAAATGCCTTATTTGCAGCGATTGTAATTTTCAGCTGAAAATAAACCCAGCAAAATAAGCAAGCCCCGCACATAAACTGCTAGTAGTTATTTATGCTAGAAACAAAGTTGAACCAGATGCTGAATTGGTGTGTGGTCTGCTCTATTATTTCAAGAAGGGTGCAAAATTCTGTACGTGCAGTCAGGAATTGCAAGTGTAAATGGGTGTGGAATTCCAGGAAAAGAATCAAAAATCACTTCTGAATCGAGAGGATAACTAATCAACACATCTCCGTTTGCTGCCCCACATAGCTACTGTGGTCCAAAATGACATTTGATCTAAATGGCTGACATTCCAAAGTTTTGCACAACTTTGTAGCAATAGCAATAGCACTTATACTTACATACCGCTTCGCAGTGCTTTTACAGCCCTCTCTAAGCGGTTTACAGAGTCAGCATATTGCCCCCAACAATCTGGGTCTTCATTTTACTGAACTCAAAAGGATGGAAGGCTGAGTCAATCTTGAGCCTGGTGAGATTCGAACTGCCAAATTGCAGGCAGGCAGCAGGCAGCAGAAGTAGCCTGCAGTACTGCACTGCACCACTGCGCCACTGTGGCTCCTGCAACTCCTACTGCTTTGTAGCACCAGAAATACATACTGTAGGTTCAAATCCTACACATTTCCTCAGGAGAAAATAAACCCATCTCAGATTGTGCTCCAAATGTGTGATAAACCTCAAAGAACTAATTTATCTTAATACTTCCATTAAAATCAATGGGGTTTTTAAATACTTAGCTTGGGTTCCACATATTTTCCAGAAATAAATTAAAGGAATTCATTGGGCTTTTTCTTACACAGCACAAATAAGGATTTCAGAAGCAAGGCAATTCTACTTTATTTAAAATAAGATTTATTGAAGGTTTTACAGAGAACATAAAAATTAATACAAACTAATAAAGAGTAAAAGCAGTGTAGAAAGAAATAAAGAGGAAATAAAAAACAAGAGTAGAGAAAAAGAATAAAAAGAAATAGAAGAAGCGTCCAATTTCATTTGCAGCAAATATAAGTGCTAATAAAAAAATAAGTGCTAATAAAAAAAATAAGAAAGATCACACTTTACTATTATGCATTTTTTGTAATCATCAATGCCACAAATCATAAGTGTATTTTTCCTGTTTTATGCAAAAATTCTATACTGTAAGGGTTTTCTATTCAGCCATAAGTGTAAATGCTATTTTTTCTCTGATCAATTGTTAATTTAGCAGCTACTAAAGACCAAAGCAAATTTCCAACTGGGATTCAGTTGTTGAAGACCTTTGGATACCAGTCATATGCGTAATGTATCCTCAGTTTAAAGGACTATTTAGGGAAAACACATCAGTTAACCAAAATGCTTGTTCATATTAAATTTATGTAATTAACATAATTTTTATGCCATTGACATCAATTTCCATCATTTGTGTTAAGGTAGTTGTCCAGATGGGTTTTAAAAACAATAGACATCCATTATTTTGTGTGTATGGGGGGGGGGAGTCCAAATACAAATTTAATCCATTGCATCCAAGGTTCTCTAAATTGCAGTCCAGAGAATTGAGATTGAACTGCAAAAGTTAAAAAAAAATTAGGGCTATCAGATTTGGGCCTCAAAAATCTGGATGACCACAAGATGGCAGCAAAATAGATTTTTGTGTATCTATTTGCCACATCAGATCTGCTAATCCTAGCAGAGACACAGAATCTGTGCGATTCAGTTCTTAACATCTCTAGTTAAAAAGATGAGATAAAGAAGCGATCCTTCATGATTAAGAAGAATGCATTCTTTTATATGTCAGAATATCACTTCCTAAACTCAGTGGTGAAATCCAAATTTTTTTACTACCGGTTCTGTGGGCGTGGCTTGGTGGATGTGGTGTGGCTTGGTGGGTGTTGCAAAATCTCCATTCCCTCCCCACTCCTGGGGGAAGGATATTACAAAATCTCCATTCCCACCCCAATCTGGGGCCAGCCAGAAGTAGTATTTGCCGGTTCTCTGAACTGCTCAAAATTTCCACTACCGGTTCTCCAGAACCTGTCAGAACCTGCTGGATTTCACCCCTGCCTAAACTCTCATTATTTCTCTTGTCTGAGAATTCTGTTCCTCTTCTGATATGAACCAGTATCAAATTTGGAGCCCAGAGTCTCTCGATGAAAGTTTTCCATGAGACTAAACACACTTCACAATACAGTTGGTGTTTGTTTATCCCTAAGCAGCTTTGGAAGTGGCATCAACAGAAATCAGGCTCTTCTTCTTAGCAAGAGAAATGGAAAATGATACCACCGATCGATGACTCAAATCCCACCATGTATTGTTTTGGAACTGGAGCCAGAGAAACTACTCCAGGGAAGAATTTAGCCCATCAAACTGGCTTTGTTTTCTCAATCTCCTTCCTTCAACTGAGAAGAGAAGGGTAATAGCCCATAACTGTAGCTGCAGCATACTTTCTGAGTCACTTTGCCGAATAGCACAGACTGTATACCCTTAGGACCTTTAATACATCTCTGAAGCTTGTCAGTGGTTTTGGTAACAAGTAGAAAAAGAAAAAAGAGCGGTAAGAGCAGAACGGAACATGTTTAGAAAAGTGGTAGCTGTGTCATCTTGATGTTACCTTGATGTCACCAAACATGGCTGGCAGGTTGTGCGTTTTGGTTCCTAAATCTAAGTGGTAAAGGATGTCTTCCTCCATTAAATCCAAGTGAGGGTTCTTAACATAAACAAATCCATTCCTAGGAAAGAAACATAAAAAGAGAAGGAGGAAGCTGTCAGTGACCGCAGAGAGAGGGAGGAAATTGCAAGGTAAAATATGGCAAGCCAGGTGAGGTTGTAGATTGCCTGTTTATATATTAATAATGCTGAGGTTGGCAAGAGAAAAAGAACTGGGGCCAAACAGGCTCTTTCCAGACGATCAGTTTTTAGTATAGTAAATGTGTCGCTATTGCCCACTTGGTATGCTGATTGCAAACTCTTCCCTGGAGGTTGAGGTTCTCGGTGTTCTGCAGCAATATATTTTATATTCAGGAAATGGCATTTCCTCCCCCCCCCTCCTTTCACTCCACTGGTGTCTTGTGTTTGCCTTCTGAAATGACTTTGTGTGACTGTTAATAGACACATTCCTTATGGTTTGTGAAGTCATTAACAATGTTCGCATTGCCATTTAGTTCTGTGATCTTCTTTATTCTTTATTCTTCACAATATCACCAGTGGCTGTATTCTCTTGTAGTGCTCAAAAAGAACAGAACAGCTCCTGTTAGATCAAACCAAGCCTTTGCCCCATAATACATAGGACCAGGGGTGAAATGCTCCCGGTTCGGACCGGATCACCTGATCCGGTAGCAATGGCGGCGGGTGGTTCAGAGAACCGGTAGCAAAAATCCCTGTGCCCCCCCCACCATGCCCAGCTGAGCCGCACGATCATCAGAGGCTTTTTTTTTTTTACTTTTAAAAGCATTTTTTCTACAACCTCTTCCAATGAAAAAATGCTTTTAAAAGTAAAAAAAAAAAAGCTTCCGATTATCGCGTGGCTCAGCTGAGATTGTCAGAAGCTTTTCAAAGCATTTTTTCCTGCAACCTCTTGGCTGAAGAGGTGGTAAAAAAAATGCTTTGAAAAGTCTCTGACGATCCCAGCTGAGTTGCCTGATCGGCAGAGAGGCTTTTCAAAGCATTTTATTAAAAGCCTCGATGAGGCATTTTTTAAAATGCCTCTCTGATGATCCCAGCTGAGTTGCCTGATCGGCAGAGAGGCATTTTTTAAAAAGCCTCTCTGACAATCCCATCTGAATTGCCTGATCGGCAGAGGCTTTTCAAAGCATTAGAAAAAATGCTTTGAAAAGTTTAAAAAAAAAAAGAAGTTGGCCATGCCCACCCAGTCATATTACCACCCCCCCACCAAGCCACACCCACAGAACTGGTAGTAACAAATTTTACATTTCACCCCTGCATAGGACTGCTGGAGTAAAGGACACTCAACCTCTCCATGTATAAGCAGCCTCATATTCACATTGTGTTTCTCACATCCACTCAGTCGGAAACCTCATAAACAAAGCATGAAGATGCCAGCCACCTTCTGGTGCTGACCACCAGCAGCTACGATTTAGGGTATGCTGTCTCTGAACACTGAGTTTTGCTCTTTTTTTTGTTTTTTACTTTTTCATATCCTGCCAGGTATTTTTGGAAACTCAATCTATTTGGGGAGAGGGGAGGTAAAAAATTCCTTGTTAAGCTAGGTTCTTGGTGGTTACATGAACATATCCCTATATTTTTAGGGGAAGAATATAAAAGTGGTTTGCCTTCTTCCAGATTTTTTTTTCCAGTTTCTTAATCCAGTTTACTTCTGTGGGATTCCAAGTGATGATCTATCTATCCAAGTACTAATCAGGTCTGGTTTTATTTAGTTCTTTTTTATATTAGCCAAGTACCACTGCATTTTATTAGCTGAAATTATCCCTAAGACACATGGGCTCCCACTTTACTGGATAGCACAAGTAAAGCATCTGTGGGGGCACCTACTCTTTGGAACAAAATACCCCCTGGAATACGAATAATCCCAGATCTTCGCACTTTCCAACGTGCCCTGAAGACCTTTCTGTTTCAACAAGCAGGGCTAGCATAAACATCTAAATTCTATGCCAAGGTCTTAGCAGATACACCAAGCTGACTTAATTTATTATTTACTGTTTATATATATATATATATATATATATATATATATATATAAATATTATATGTATATGAAATCTTAATCTGTTCACCGCCCTGAGTCCTTTGGGAGAAGGGCGGTATAGAAATTCAATAAATAAATAAATAAATAAATAAATAAATAAATAAATAAATAAATATACCGCTTCACAGTGCTTTTACAGCCCTCTCTAAGCGATTTACAGAATCAGCCTATTGCCCCCAACAATCTGGATCCTCATTTTACCGACCTCGGAAGAATGGAAGGCTGAGTCAACCATGAACCCTGTCAGGATCGAACTTAGATGTTTCCAAGCTGATGCTGAACAGCCTATTTTAGAGCTACATTAATTAAATTATCCTTTAAGCTATTCAAAAGATGACAAATTGTATTTTTAGGAATATAGTTCAACCTCACATTAAACTCCCTAATATTTCTTCCCTACATATGTAATGATTTGAAATAATGCTACAGCTGGACATAATGAGATCCTTAAAGATTCTTCAAATTTCTTGCAAACACACACAGAGAGACACACATATACATACTTCCATCCTTTAATAATTCTTCCAGAGGTCTACTAAAATATGAGATAGTATTTTCTGATTAAATTCATTTTTTTAATCATAGGAAACCATATTGAAGAAAAATAAAAGAGAATGCTTAGTTTAATGAGGAGACAAATGGAAGACAGGAGGATTACTCGAGTAAGAGAGAAAGCCAACAAAGGTTTAAAATCAAAAAGAAATTACTCAAGAATCAGAAACAATAAAATGAAGGAGAAATAAAGACAAAGCATATCAGCTAAAAGACTAAGATACAACAACGTAACTGAGGGATAAGAAATAAAGGCAGAATTTGTAAGCCTAGAGACCCATGAACAATTCTTTTTAGCTTCTTATTTTTAGTTACTATATATTCTAATTCTTTTATTTTGATTTTGTAAGCTGCCCAGAGCCCAGTGAGGTTCAGAGGGTCAAATAAATTTCATAAATAAAACATAAATGAGGGTCGTTCCCCCCCCCCATCCTGTGTTCCCAGCTGATATGTCTGCTAGCAGCCAAAAAGGTTATGAGCAGCCAGCTTGATCTGGATCAGAATCAAGAGAGTACAAACCCACCAGATGTGACATTTGTTTCAAGGTCGGTTGTAACCGAGCATCCTTGCCAAAGAAGGACTTTAATTGTGTTATGTAGGTATTAAACTTATATACTATCTTATTGAAGGCGCTTCACCCTTTTACAAATACTGTTTGGGATGAATGAATGAGACACTGAACAAGCCTCTGGACACTGAGGTCCCAGGACCTTGAATTCAATATTTGCTCTAGTACAAAGTTATTCTTATAGCTGTAGAATTGTTTGGCTATTGGTTTAATGAATGTAATAAAGCATACTACCATTTTATTTGGATTTGAAAGCAAGAGAGGTATATGGTCTGTTCATATGTAATAGAAGGGTCTTGGGGCTTACTGGTTGGGAAAGGGTACCTCTTGGAGCCTTCTGCTGGTTGGAGGTTTTAATAGCAGGCTGAATGATATTAAATTCTCTAGGAGCTGGAAAAGATTCTACTTGGCAAATCTCTGGGGGATTCAGCTCACAAATCCAGGACTGGCTCCAATATTATATCTGAGATTATGTAATTTCATGGAGAGAAATTAACTTGCACCCCTGCATAATTAACTTGCACCCCTGCATAATTTCCCCCTTTTTCCCTAATGGCTATATTGCATGGGGGGGCACCCCACAAAAATCTGAAGTGATTAACATTTCTTCAGTTACACTATCAACTCTTGAAGACTTACCATTATTAAATTTCTTATAGCATTTATTATTGTCTTTCTTACGTCATTTTTTTCTTGGGCACTAATATCTATAGCATTCATTTCAATTCCATCCTTTAACGGATCATTCCCATACAAATCTCTAAAATACTCTTTTCAGGATTCTATTTCATCTCACATCACTTGAAATGTTTTTTTCCATGTCCTGGCTTCCACAAAGGAAGGAAATATCCATGCAATGGGTAAGAAAAGTGCAGGCAAGAAGTGGGTACTTGGGGTGAGGCTTGCAAGAATGTCAGGGAAGCTGACAAGGAATGAACCAGAGGCTTGTCTAGGAATAGTAATAGCAATAGCACTTAAACCAGGGGTGTCAAACTCGATTTCATTGAGGGCCACATCAGGGTTGTGTTTGACTTCGGGGGGCCGGAGTGGGCATGGCCAGCTCAACGTTACTCATGTCAGGGGCGCCTATGGTAGCCTGAGTGCTCTGCCAGCAAAAACGGGCTCCCGAGCTCCATTTTTGGCTGGGATGGCCTCCTGCAACCCTCTGCCATTGAAAATGGATCTTAGGAGAGCCGCATGTGGCCCCCACAAGCTCCGTTTTCACTGGCAGAGGCCCTGCAGGCTGGTCCTTCACTGTTTTCAAGGCGGCCCTGTGGGCCAGATCTAAGTCCCCCGCAGGTCGAATGCGGCCCCCGGGCCTTGAGTTTGACACCCCTGACTTAGACTTATAAAACACCCCACAGTGCTTTATAGCACTTTCTGAGCAGTTTAAAGAGTCAGCATGTTGCCCCCAACAATCAGGGCCCTCATTTTACTGATTTTGAAAGGATAGAAGGCTGAGTCAACCTTGAATCTGTCAGGATCCAACTGGCAGTTAGAATGCAGAGTTAGCCTGCAATACTGCATTCTAACCACTGTGCCATCATTGCTCATAATATGCCAAAATAAAAATGAAGCAGGAATGAAGAACACGGACCACAAACTCAGATGCCAAAGTTGTTTCCAGCAATGGAACATGGTCCCTGCACAGTTTATATCTACTCCCCTCTGAGTGTACACAGGTGAGCTCTTCCTGCTCAGCAATTGCCAATAATGTAGACACTGGGCTTGCTTATAGAGCTAACATTTTGCCACTTGCCCACAAGGCAAGTTACTTTGCCAGAGTTTGCTCTGTTTCTTGCAGCTTGGCTTTGAGGATATGGCAGTTTTATTTTTAATCCGATTCTTTCTGCTGGAAGATGTTTAGCTTCCTTCACACAGTTCCAAAACTATTTTTTAACATTTTTATTTATCAAAACGATTGCACAATTGTCTCTGTCTCTTTCAATGTGAACAGTTCTGTATGTTTCTACATTTTTTTTGCAACAGTCTCCTTCCGTATCTCATTTTCATTTTTTGTAAATCAATCTCTTGCATGCATTTTTCCTCATTCACTGCTTCTTTTACTTCATTAGCTCTTGCCGACAGTATGATTGTGAATTCCCCTTTTCAGTCTTGGTTGTTGTTTTTTTTGTACTTTGCTATTCTGTTCTATTTTTCTTTTAATAAGTTGTTTTTTTAGTTGTAAGCCACTCAAAGTTGTTTGGGAATTGGGTGGCCTATAAATTAAATTAAGTAAATAATTTCACTAAGCAGCTTTTTTATACTTCCCATTTCTCTTATATTCTGGAACGTAATTCTTTTTGCTCTGTTCCAAGCAATTTCCACAGCTTTTTTCCACTATATATTGATTTTCTTGGGAGAAATAATCTAAGTACATTTTCATATAGTACCTATACCTTCTCTTCCAGTGGTGGGTTGTTCCTGGTTCTTGCAAACCGGTAGTAATGGTGGCGGGAGGCTCTGCCCACCTGGCCGAACATCATCACAAACAATTTGCACATGTGCAGAAGGTTCTGTGCATGTGCACACATGTGCTCCCTTTGCAAACTGGTAGCGGAGGTAAGTAGAACTCACCCCTGTTCTCTTCCTGTAATCATTCTAATTTTACTCTAGTTCCACTTGTTTCCTTTTCTTCAATGGCTGTTTTCCCCATTGCAGCATCCATTCTTGAAAAAAAATAATGGCCTGTTCCATATTCAGAACCTCAAATTATCTCGAATCCTTTACTAATTGCTTCAATTTTTCATCATAATTAAATCAACCATGTTTTATATGTATTCTTGTCATGCATAAATATGAATGAGTTTATGCATAAATGACATGTTTACAATATACTTTTTTCTATTAGATATTCATCAAATTGTCATCATCTTCATTCATTCATTCATTCTTGGGTCTTCTCTGAATAGTCAGTTCACTTTTTTTGTCTTTCTGCCTCATTGCTGTCATGAATTTATGTCATTTACAGGAATAATTTCCCCCTTGGATTGAATTCATTCAGAATTTTGCAGTTTCCCCCCAACTCATCATTGGTTCTTTCATTATCACTATTCACTGGGGCATAATATATAACTATTAGCAATCTGTAGATATTTACTTTCATACCTACTACATCAATCTAGATGATACCAATTCATAGTTTCGGACAGACATTTTAGTCTTTTTTCCCCACAGTTATGCCCATACCTATAGCTTAGTTTCCCTGCCTATATTCTTCTGCTTCACTCTACAAGATTAGATTGTCTTCATTCAGATCTATTATATTGATCTTCTTCCTCATAGACATAGAAGAGATCTATTTCCCCCCTTAATTCAGGTTTTTTATTACCTGAATATTATTTATTATTTCTCTTATGTAAACTGCAGACTTCCCTATGGTATGGCTATCGGCAGATTGGCCCATAGTTTTTGATTTCACTCATCCAAGATGGCTTTGGTCAATCAAGGTTTTCACATAATGCTTTTTAGTAAGATATAGAAAGTGTAGATTAAGTTATCAGTCTTGTTATAACTAGAGCACATTCATCTTTAAAAATAAAAATAGGTATGTGTAAAGAAAACTTCCTGAAGAAATGTAATGGATATGGAAGAAGAGTAGTAAGGATACTTGGGATAAGTGTTCATATAGTTTAATTACTCCTTAAATTAAGATAATAAGCCTATGATTTGGACTATGAAGAAATTTGCATGCACAATAACTGGAGTTGGGCTAGTGATCAGAAAAGGAATTTTAATTATGATAGAGAGTTCAATGAAAATGTTAATGCAGTATGTGATAGCTGTGACAAAAGGTTAATTATACACTAGGAAACATTAGAAAGAGATTCAAAACTTTTGGGACGGGTATATTTGAAATTCTACGGTACTAGCAGTTCTTCTAACCATACTGGTAAAGACTCCTTGAGTTCAGCCCCTAGTGACTATGTGGACATATTCATGTAATTTTCTTGATAACAATTTGGGAGAAGTTTGCTTTTGCTACATCTGGGATGTTTTTTAAACTTCCCAGTCTAGCCTACAGATGTGAGATTCCATTGTGATCTCCTACCCGAGCATTAAGCCCAAATCTTAACATTTTTTCAGATCAGATCACTTCAGATAGAGACTGCCACCTGCTAAGGCTGTAAATATTTAGGGAACACAAAATGTAGAGCATATAAAATGCATAGGGAATTATTGTGTTGTACACTCAAATGTATCACTGTATTAATATAAATATCAAATTATTATTTGGAGTGGATCCTTTGAGCAAGTTGCTTGCAAAACATGGCTTAATCAATCTCCAAACCAATGTGAATTTTGTACAAATAGTTTTTGAAGCATACCCGTTGGACATCAATGCTCTACAAGCCATTGGGTAGTCTAATGTTATAAATTGTTTGATTTACTCTTTTTAGCACTACAACTCTTTCCCAGGGGCAGTTCAAATTAAAATGTCATTTAGATTCAATTGTTTCAATCTGTGCTATTAAATCAGTCAATAGATCATTCTGCTCTTTCATTGTAATAGTTGTAATAGTTGAATTACAATTCAACTATTGTATCCCTTGTTAAAATGATAATATAGATATACAGTGATATATTTTTGTTATTAGAAATCTCTTTAGACACTTCTCATATAATTATTGTAATATTCTCCCTTGTCCTCTTGATTAAAGGTTAAATTTTGCTCTACGTTTAAATTAAAATTATATTCAGAAGGCTCAAGTTTCTGATTGCATCCTTCTTCCAATTATAATTGCAAATGGAAAGAAACTTAACTTCATAAGAATGTAGGCCCTTGTTTAGTTATTCAAAGAAAATTAATACATTAGGTCTTTTGAAAAAAACTAGTAGCAGTTCAGACCACTTGTATGCAGTAAAATTTAAGTGCTTAAACTGGATTAGAACTACAGAGAGATCAAAGTAATTCACAAAAACATAATGCTGTACTGATAGGAAAGAAGGAACCTTTCAGTTTTGCTTTCTTCCACATTAAAAAAAGTTAAAACTTGAGTTCTGTCTAATTGTAAAGAAATGTGCAAATCCTGGAAAATTTTAATACATAGGAAATGAACAGATGAAATTACATCCATTACAGGACTTTCTGTGCACCTACTACATAACTATTAAAGAGAAATAGCTTTTGAGGAAAAAAAATCTGGTAGCCACACAAATTCTGCATCACACACTACTGAATATACAAGTACTGGTAGTCCTTAATTTACGATCACATCACATCATCAATTGGGGCCAAAATTTCTGTTGTAAAGTGAGACATTGGTTAAGTGAGTTTTGCCCCATTTTATGACCTTTCTTGTCACTGTTGTTAAGTGAATCACTGCAGTTGTTAAGTTGGTTGTTAAGTGAATCTGGCTTCCCCATTGACTTTGTGTGTCAAAAGTCCACAAAAGGTGATCCCATGAGCATGGGACATTGCACCTGTCATAAATATGAATCAGTTGCCAAGCGTTTGAATTTTGATCATGTGACTATGGGGATGCCACAATGGTCATAAGTGTGAAAAATGGTCATAAGATACTTTTTTCAGTGCCATTTGTAACTTTAAACAGTCACTAAAGGAATTGTTGTAAGTCGTGGACTACCTATACAAGGGTTAAATTCCTTTAGAATGAGACAGACATTTTGCCCATCTAAATAAATCTTTCAGATCTGCTTTTCCGCACATTTGGGGTTTTTTTTGGAAAAGAAAACATTTCCCTTTAGAATAAGTTATGGGAAAAAAAATGCTTTTAAACAAGTTTTTAAATGAAGGAAATGCTGATGTCCACGGCGGGTGCTCCTTAGGCACAGCTGTTTAGGGTCAGGGGTGTCAAACGCTTACCTGCTGGGCTTTTCTTTTCCGATGTTAATGTGCTGGTTGGAATTGGTTAAAAAGACCGTCATGCCGTCCATCTTTCACAGCCTCCCAGCAAACGTTGAGCCTTCGCAAACCGCAGGAATCACATAGAGGATGAGGTGTGGGTGTTTTGTACCAGGCTTTGTATCTTGGTTTTGCTGAAACGATAAAGAGGACTGCCTCGAATCAAAGTCTGTGTTTGCAGCTCAAGGCTCGCTGGTGGTTGTGGTGTTGAACTAAGCTCACCTCCACCTCAACTGCTTTGCCAAGTTGTATCAAAATTTCCCTCAGCCGACCATCTAAGATTGGCTGTTTTTGAAGGTGTGGTATTCCAGCCCCAAAGCTTTCCCTAGCTCTCATTACTGTCCCTGGAGGACACAAAGGCCAGGGCTGCTTAAATCCTATGTTACTCTTTGACCAGAGTCCCACATTTGCATTTTGGCAGCCTTCCTTGTAGGGAGGAAAATGCTACTTGAGGCCACAGGTTGTTTTCCTAACTCCGCTGCCTTGTTTTCATATGTGGGTCTCTTACACAACAGAGCCAGAATGGTGTAATGGTTCAGGTGCTGGCTTAGAATCCAGGAGTCAGTGAGTTCTAGGCCTGCCTTAGGCAGGAAAGCCAGCTGAGTCACTTTGGGCCTGACACCCTCCTCCCTCAGCCCAATCCACCTCACAGGGTTGTTGTTGTGGGGAAAATAGGAAGGAGGAACATTACTATGCTTACCGTCTTGAGTCATATATAAAAAAAGTAAATAAAAAGCCAATGATGATGAGGAAAAATACCGTAGACCCCAGGAGATAAATAGATGTAATATGTGCATAGCATGACGCTGGCTGAGCTGGGCAAAGTGCCAAGCTTTACACAAGCATCAAGTTAGTTTTTAACTTACATTGATTTCCGTTTCATCTGCCAAATGGAAGCCTCAACATAAAGTTATCAATCTCAGCTGATTTGAAGGCTCCCTCCTACACAGCCAGAAATATACAGCGACCCAAACGGTGTTGATTGTGGTATGAGATTTCTCAGGATGACTGCTCAGGATAACACTTTTTCCTCGGCACGATTTTGGATTGACTACTGGCTGCAAAAATCCATTTACTTTCTGCATGTTGTTTTTCAAGGCCAGTAGAACAAATGTCTCTATAGTCATTATGGTTTTGGGACCCTTTTGGGACCCTTAACACACAATTTAGCATTTTCCAAACAAGGACTATTTGCAGCAGAGGTAGTTTCTGGTGCTATCTAGCCCAATATTCTGCATTCACGTAACTTAGTCACAAATTGTTTAAATTCAAAATTTGTGCAATGGATGGAATATAAGGAAGTTCCCATCTTACATGCAATTCTAGAGCCAATTCACAGTGTTGGAAATCTGCCTAGGAACATGATAGCATGCAGACTTTGAGACTGTAGGGAATTTTTTTTTTTTACCCCATAATGTCTCCTGAGTATGAATCTCATGCTCAAAATCCTCATAAGGAGTGGCTTTTGAGGAGATAAGAAATGGAGCTGATTTGTGAGAAAGAGACTTTCTGAGGTATGATGGTGTCAAAGTTTTTAAAAGAACCAATACATGCCAGTCGCTCCATGAAAGGATCCTATATTTGTAATAATATTCCATCCAGTGGTTAAGTAAGAAACAGCAAGAAAGCAAAGGATTATATCGATCACTTCTTTGTTAGTTAACCCTCCCATACAGGAAGTGATCATTTAACATCTGTTTGAAGTTAGGACATTCTAAAATAAAAAATAAAATCAAAGAGACATTATAAGAGAATTGTGACCAATTCTTACACTTGCACTTTCAACCATCACACTGCCCCTTGATTACATGAGCAGTATTTGTGCACTTCCCAACTTGGCTTGTGACAAAATTAATAGAGAAGGTAGAAGTGAAATCATACATCACAGTCATATAATGTTTTGCTAAGCAACTGTGAGGATTTGCTTAACAACCAAAGGGGAAATGAGGTTATAAGTTTATTGTGATCACATGATATTTCACATAGCAATCGTGGCACTTAGCAATGGAGTTACTTGTCCCAATTTTGGTCACCAACAAGGATTACTTGTATCTACTTATTTGAATCCTAACTCTTCTGAAACTCTTCACCCAATTAAGGTGATGGGATTTCACCCATGAAATGCCCTCCCTGCCGATACTAACTTGGTACTTCCAATTAAGAATGTTTCAATACCAGCCTCCATTTGAACAACTGTTTATTTTTTCAACATTTTAAAAGCTAAGAGTATTTTTAAGAACTGTACTGTATTACTACGAATTGCTATTTAATTGATTGGTTGGTTGGTTGGTTGGTTGGTTTGCTTCCGCAAATAAATACACCATCCGTTCTTAATGTCTCTTTGATGTTTACAAAAATATAATTAAATAAAACAATACAGAAAACCAGCAGACAGGATGTTAAGCTCTGAAATGTCAGGGTAAAATTGTTTTCATTTCCCTAAAGTTGTAATTAGGAACAAGTCCACTTTAATTTGAAAGCCTATTTGTTCCATAATACTGTATAGACCTTGCCATAGAAAAATCAGAATTATAATCTTGCTACCAAGATAGCAAAATCTCCTTGGGTTGAATCTTGAACAGAGCTTTGGAAGACAGTAGGAATTTTTTTCATGTCTTCCCTGTCAGGTCCAAAAGCTCTCACCAGCTACTCTTCCTGCTTCCTGTCCTCTATCTGGCTTAAGAGTACATCTTCTGCTTTCTGATCCCAGCCCCATTCTTCATATCTGGGGAAGGACAGGAACTGCTCTAGCATCTTCAGATCTAAGGTCTGAGTTTTGGTATGCCTTCCCAACTCCAGCTGCTACTGGGAACCTGAATGAGGTTTGCTGCAAGGACCTCTGGTTTCCTAGCGATAAAAATGCCAGAACTGCCAGCAGTTCTCCTCACCAAAGCTCGTCTTCTTGCTTCTCCATCAGGACTTTCCTTTCTTTCATTCTACGCAAGGTGAGAGAGCCTCCTCTTTCTGGTTCCTCACCTGTTTGACTCTGGGCATCCATTCTCTTCCTGTGATCAAGAGCATTCCCTACCTTGCTCCAAACCAATTTTCATAGGAGGAAGGTCCTGCTTTGATCTCTCATTAACCACAGCAGTTAGATTCAGGAAAAAAAATCAATGGGAACTGATTATAATAATAAAATATAATGTCCACAAATATCTTGAATTTTTGCTGAGAAAAATCACAAAATTACAACAGTGAGAATATACCAGAAGCTATTTCCTCACACTTTTGTTCATAAACGTACATCTTTTCCCACTTTATTAAAAAAAAAAAATCTTGTTAGGGGAATAGTTTTTGTTGCTTTTTGTTGTTGTTGTCAGTTAAGCAAATGACATCAGGTTTCCACTCCATGTAATAGTCTTGTACACACTTCTTTGGGAGTAAGTGCCATTCAGGCAAGTAAGCCATGTCACAATATGATTGTTTTCCAAATTTCCTTAATACTAAACCTACACAGAGAGGCAGGCAAGCAGGCAGGCAGACAGATGATAGAGTCTTGCTTCAACTTTCAGGCTTAGTGGGAGCAACCTTGCTGGGTGGGGCAACATTGCAAAGCTTCAGAAAGCTTCAGAATCTTGTAAGGAGAAATGGGGCCAAATTCAGAAGCCCATCTCTTTTCAGTAAGAAATCCTGAAAAAAGTATCTTAGTTTTTGGAATATGGTGGATTGTTGGTGTACAAGAGTAACTTTTAGCATAACTGTTGATAGCCCCAAATATGCTTTTTTCAAGAGGCAACTGGACTTTCTGGTTTTTCTTTGAAGACATTTTGCTTCTCATCCAAGAAGCTTCTTCAACTCTGACTGGATGGTGGGGAATGGAAGGATTTATATTCCTTGCAGACAATCATGACCTGGATGACTGAGAATCTCCATAGACCTAACCGTTGATACATTCCTAGAAAGGTAGCAATGCTTTTCATGGGCTGTATTCATCTTTCTCTTCTTTGTTTTCCTGCCTTGGACAAAACTAGTCTTTCTCCAAGGGTTTAAAATCCCACAGACCTAGGCTGGATTCCTAGACAGCTTGATATATGAGATAGACCTTAGGGGAAGGCATTTCTCTTAGGACTTGCTTCAGGGACAGTACCAGGGGTGGGTTCTACTTACCTTTACTACCGGTTTGCGTCGCGCCCATGCACACGCTCTTTTATGCATGCACAAATCACCTATGATGACGTCTGGGTCAGTGGGCGGAGCCTCCCACCGGTTTTACTACCGGTTCATGCGAACTGGTCCGAACCGGAGGCAACCCACCACTGGACAGTACATGGAGTATTTGTGTAACCAAGATTCCTTCTTTCTCATTTTTTGTTCTTGGAGGGAACAAGAATCCCACAGTCCTATACAAGTAGTCCTTGATTTAAGATTACATTTGAGCCCAAAATTTCTGTTGCTAAGTGAGACATTTCTTAAGTGAGTTTTGTCCCATTTTATGACCTTTCTTACCACAGTTGTTAAATGAATCACTACAATTGTTAAATTAATAATATGGTTGTTAAGTGAATCTGGATTCCCCATTGACTTTGTTTGTTAGAAGGAGATCACGTGACCCCGGGATCGCAACCATCATGAATATGAATCAGTTGCCAAGCATCCCAATTTTCATCTCTTAACCATGGGAAGCTGCAATGGACATAAGTGTGAAAAACAGTCATGTTACTTTTTTCAATGCCATTGTAACTTCGAATTGTTACTAAATGAACTGTTGTAAATTGAGGATTACCTGTAAGTGCCTTCAGGATCTTCTTGTCTGACAGTTAAAGAGTGGCGACTCCTAAAGTAAATCTGGTTTAAACTTAAACTTTGCTGTAATTTTTATTCTTCCTGTATATCTAACATGAAACGAAATGATCTGTCAACTGTAACTTTATCTTTTTTATGAGAAATTCTACACTAAATTAATTCACAAAAAATATCAGTACTAATTTACAGAGAATATTTAACATGGGAGAAGTTCGTGTTGGAATACAAAAATCAATTAAGGTCAAATTCATTAAAATAAAAACAAAACCCCCCCTGAAAAGTAACATTTCTACAGCATGTAGTGGGGTTGTATTTTAAGATTCCAGTGAAACAAATAAGCAAAACATAATGAAGTTAGAAGAAAAAAAAACACTTTATGCATATTTTTTAAAAAAAGAACACCTATTTGGCAAGGTTCGACTATACCCGGCTGCAATTTGGAGATTTGATTTACGTTTGTGAT